TTATGGCATGTAGCACTCACGTGTGCCTCGTTGGAGCGTTTCCGTGGTAATCCATGGCCGAGCTTTTATCAGCAGGACTCACAAGAAAACCTGCTGGAGGAGGAACTTATGTAGGGCTCGGGCCACGTAACCCCTGATTATTCCCTTGGGGTGATCACATACTGAAAGGCTTGTGCATTAAATTTTTATGTACTAGTTTGTATCTTGTCCTTGCGTAAGATTTGTCTGTAGTTCCATTAATGAAAACACACAAAATTGAGCTTATCGTGGATACCAGCATATACGTAATGCTAGCAAATTAAAAATACATACTAACACAGTGTTGAACTACATGTTCCCTGAGCACCTGCTACGCATGGTATGGTAGATGTTCAGCATACCCTTTAAAGATAATGGGAGTTTTTAGACTGGCTGAAAGATTTTTAGCACCATTCAGGTCTGCAAGTTGAACTCTTTTCAAAGCTCACTGCCGCAGCTGCAAATGCTGGGGATTTACAGCAAGTGCAAGAGTTGCAAAGGCAAGAATGTTTTTATTTAATTATATATCCTATGTCTTTTTATTTGGTGAGGTCAGCTCCATTTTTTGTTCAATCAATCACCTACCAATACAGAAATAAAATTAGTGGTAGTATAAAGACTGTTTTAAAACTAACTTTTTAATGACACTTCAGTTTTGTATTGAAACATGTATATTCTTCACTGACCTTGACTCTAATAACATTTTATTTGCCAAAGAGCATTAATTGGTGTCAGGATGTACGGAATATGAGCATGTACTTGTTATAATTTCTATATATAGTGCAATGTTCACAACTGGATTGGTTAAGTAAATAGTAGAACAAAGGAAATTTGGTTTTGAGATCTCTTTGCATAACCTTACAATCCAAAGCGTAATCCGGATTTCCTCACTGGCTATGCATTGTGTTGGGATTCAGGTCACATGACTGTACAATCTTATAACCCGCCTGACACAGGATAATGTATGGAATGGATGGCATGATGCTGGAAAACTCATAAACTGCACAAGGCTAATATCACAGTGGTTACTGCAGCTTTTGATCATTCTAATCCACCATTGGTCTTTTTACCACGTGCAGCTCTGTGCACGGAAGAAACGAGAAGATTTAACCATCTCAATGCCAGAACAAAGCAGTTTGACTGAATCTATTCAGTGTCTAGTGCTGCTTACATTTACGGACAAATTGTCAGCGCTGCGGTATAAATGTATAAATTAGCGTTTTGTGTTTTTTAAATTTACCAATAATAATGAGAATACAGTGAACCTTTTTTTATAGAATATAAATCAAATTTCTTTGCCTGATCAGAATCTTTCTGCTGTTTGTGTTCCAGAGAACTAATGTTAATACTTAAATGTAAATTATTCTCTCTCTTATCATTGAAGGGTTGTGTTCTAAATGAAGCATTATTATTTATCATTTTATCAGAGACTGCGTATCTCTCTAACATTATGAATATTGATTTCCACCACAGGAATGGTGGCAGAGGAATACAACGCCTTTTTCTATTCCCTTGTGTCTCAGGATACGCAGGAAATGGCTTATTCCACAAAGAGACAGCGATTCCTGGTGGATCAAGGATACAGTTTCAAGGTATTTCAGACAGCGTTGAGGATGCTGGTAGTTGCAGGGGCAGATTTCATGAAAATAAACTACATCATTATCAGTGATAGAATGTGCCGAGGTGAAATCTATTGGCAGAAGCAAACAGGGTGTTTGGAACAGTTTGTCCTTATAATTTAGTAGCTTTTTGAAAATTTGCTGCAACCCAGTTTTGCTAACATTTGTATATGTACTGCGCCACATCACGGTTGATACATAAATAAAAAGCACAACTCATAGCAAGACACCTGAAAATTGTGCTTGTTTGCAAATAGCTTTATAGAGAATAGATTTTATCTGCCTTTGCTTTCTCGATTTATTTAGTCCTGGTTACACTCTGTGTGCCACAAGTTCTGCTTTTTGATTATATTAATTTAGTCTCAGAGCAGCACTTCTTGCTGTCATAGATAATCCTTAATGTTTCCCCATAATATCCGATACTGATTCCTAAAAGTTACCAAGTCATGTCCTCATCAGCCATAATTCCTCAAAGTCTAATTCTCCACTTTCATCTTTTGTCTCCTCCACCTGTCACTAGATTATAAGCTCATCATTATTATATACATCTTTTGGTCCACCTGTTGCAATAGGTGTTTGTACATATAACGTTACAGTTCCTCTATCACTTATCATACATTAGCTTGTCAGTAACACCCATTACATTGTACAGCATTTTGGTAAATGTGAAAGGAACATAAATGCTTTATTTCAATAGAAATTAACACTTTTATAAATGAAACATGTTGTGCCCCCTCTCCCCTCGTTATTTGGGCATTGTCTCTTGACCTCTCCAGAAGCAGGAAAGGCTCAGTATTTCCATATTCCCAATTTACACTGTGTCCCTCTACAGGAATTGTGTTAATCTTATTTTATTTGTATTAATTTTTTCCTTTATTAGGTCATTACAAAACTAGCAGGAATGGAGGAGGAAGATCTTGCATTTTCCAGTAAAGAAGAACAGCAGCAGCTTCTGCAGAAAGTTCTCGCAGCCTCTGATCTCGACGCAGAGGAAGAAATTGTAGCTGGGGAATTTGGATCCAAATCACATGTAAGTATTTTATTTTCTAACAGACACAGAATTTGTTCTATATTGCTCAAAGCAATATTTTCCATGTAGCCACTAATAATTTCTCTTGTTCACCTGAACCAAAAAAAAAACATTTTTCATTAAATCGGACGCTGGTGGGATGTCACTCACTTCCTTGCAAGTAAACACGCTTTCTCTCTGGAAATGAACTCTCCGTCAAATGTTCTCATTATCGCAGGGAGTTGTGACAAAATCTACTGTCTGTGTTACTGTATGAATATGTCTGTGTTACTGTATGACGATGTCTGTGTTGCATCTTATAAACCCGTCAGCAACTCATGTGGCTGAAATAGTACATCCACTGATTAGAAGTGGTCTCTATATAGTGTTGACGATTCGTGCCTGAGACATGGACGTGTCTTGTGAAAAATTCTGCTGGCTTTATATTACCGTGCATTTTGTTGTGAAAATGTCAGTGTGATAGTGAATTTGAAAGTGAACTAGCAGATCTGTTTCCTTTTGAGCTGCCCACTGCCATCATCAGAAGTGGTAGCGTGATCCAATCACAATGCTTCCCCATAGGATTGGCTGAGACTGTCAAAGAGGCAGAGCGAGGGGCAGAGGCAGCACAATTCAAACACAGCTCTGGCCAATCAGCATCTCCTCATAGAGATGAATTGAATTAATGAATCTCTATGAGGAAAGTTCAGTGTCTGCATGCAGAGGGAGGAGACACTGAATGTTTGGATGCATTTTAGGCAGCCATGACCCAGGAAGGATCTCTAACAGCCATATAAGGAGTGGCCAGTGAAGTTATTAGTAGGCTGTAATGTAAACACTGCATTTTCTCTGAAAAGACAGTGTTTACAGCAAAAAAGCCTGAAGGCAATAATTCTACTCACCGGAACAAATTCAATAAGCTGTAGATGTTCTAGTGACTATAGTGTCCCTTTAACTTGTTTTTTCTAATTCTTGCAGATGGCACGCCGTGTGGGCACAATGAGTTCAATGTCTGGCGCAGATGATACCGTTTACATGGAGTACCATGCAACACGAAACAAAGGCTCTGGCGGGAAACATGTGCACCCACTTTTCAAACGCTTCAGGAAATGAAAATATCTTCGTCTTTTTGTTTTTTTTCATGCGGCCATCGCAATATTCATCATGTGAGTCCCGCACCCGTTTCCATAGAGTGCTATGGAATTCAGAGCTGCTGCAATGGGAGGGTGAATGATAATAGAACTTTCAGATGGATCTTGGGTAAAATCATGATTTCCAAGGACAGTAAGAAGAAAAATACGGTACCATTGATGTACTGTTTTTCTGTTGTACAGTGTTTTCTACAGGACAAACGGAACGTGTTTTATTTATTCAGAAATTATAGATAATACATTTATAGAATGAGAAAAAGATATTCCAGAAAGAGATAGTCCAACCTATTTTTTTTGTTTGTGAAATGATTGATGCATTTTTTTCTATCATCCGTTAATAAAAATATCCTAAGAGTAAGATTGTGGTTGACTTTTTATGTAATGAGGATAGGTTCCCTCTGTAATAGTACCAGCTATGTAAAATGATGTAACCTCACTCCTGCCATGACACAAGTCATTACAGATCCCTTCACTGCTTGTGCATTAAAAACAGCTTAATGTCACACATAGGAAAGGTGTACACTTACCAGTGCAATGTTTTTGTAATAGTTGTTTGTTTAATGCACTCTCATCCTACATATTTATATAATGTTTACATGTTTTTAAATCCTCTTCATTCATCCTCTGCATTTTTCTGCAAGCCCCTTGTTTCCTTAAATATCACACTTGTTGTGGTTAGAACAGTGCGAGGGGGAGGGCAGGGGTTACCTACCTCATGTTCTACCCAGCAGTCTCTCTCTCTCTTTTTTTTTAAATTTTTTTTTTATATGCTGCGTCCTGGATCTTCATCATATTTGCAGACTACTCCCGGGGAGAGCAACAAATGGATATCCATGGGAGATCCTGCAAAACAACAAAATCTCTCCAGAGATCTCAGGCATTCACAAAGATTCTATCAAAATGTATTTAGTATTTATTTTCTCTCATCAGTCAGAAAAGAGCTTCATCTCTTCAAAAATAGCCAGTGCACAAGTGACAAATTACGTTAATACTTTGTTTATTAATCAATGAATGTTTGTGAAAATCCTCAAAACATAGTTTTTGTCTTAAAACCAGGGCTAAACTGTAATTTTTTTTGTCATTCACTATGATAATCTTAATGGGCAGATATCGCAAGGTTAAAATAATGTCCACCTTTGAGAGGTTTTCATTTGTCACAAGTTGAAAGTGACAAAATAGTGGAACGTCTCCCAGCAGACAGACCTCTGATTCAAACATTGTGTGTATTTTGTACCTTGTATGATAATGTCAACGTATGCTTTTTAGTAGAACATACATCATCCACACACATGCACCGGTGTAAGCTTCTACATCTGCTGACGTGAAGTAGAGATTTATTCGGACAACTCATTCACAAGGAAATAAATATGGTGGCTTTGCCACATTCAAGACATACATAAAGGGTTTCTTACGTGATTTGAAGTTGTCGTGGTGCCTGGAGTCTGTATATATTGACATTAATCTCTTTGCTGCCCAAAGTGTAATTCCACCTCCTGAGTTAATGTCCATGTTCCTATGGGAGAAGTCAGTTGACGGTCTCAGTCATAGAGTGACCACCAGGACCAACTTCTGAATGTCGCAGGCCACTGGATGACAGATGCACCCGGCTGGGAACCTCGTAAGAGGGTAAACCGTTGGAAATAGAAACAGGGGCACCCTTTGGATACTCCTAGAATTATAGTAACTATAGCGGGCTGTGCTCGATATGATGCTTGCAATAAGCCTTTAAGAAAAACTATTTCCTGCTTTGTATTTGTTCAATGATTTCATATTTTAGTGAAATTTAAAACGATATGTGCTTTTTCAGCAAATGCCTTTTTTGTTTTGTTAAAAAAACCCTTATGACAAGCTTGCTTTAATGAATTGGCTCTTTTCCCTACTTTACGTGCTTGAAATTCAGACGTATGTGTGGGTGAACAGATCCCCTTCAGGAAAGTATTAAAACATAATTTATGATGTGTTCAGGCAATTGATAACAAATGTATAAAGTAAACGCTGATTCCTGCCGTGTTGCTGTCTGTAACGTTTATGCACTCCCTGAGTGATTCGTGAATCCCACAATGCCTAGCGTGCAGCCGCAGGAAATAAATTATTAGCTTAAATCTTTTATCGAAAATGTTTGTGCACATGCTAGCAATTTGGTCAATATATTAACTGTATTATGTGCTTGTTACTATCACGTTATAAATGCATTCAATTTAAATAGGATCCATCAGTTCCCAAGAGTTTAAACTGCTACTTATTAACCTCTTAACTACTGAGCATGTTTGATTGAAAAAAAATATTGGCATAGCTACCAGAGAAATATATAACACAACAATGTTGTGTATTTTTGTGATTGCTCTCCAGACAAACTTAAATGTTAGAATTATGTATATTTCACAGTTTTATGTATTTGTTCAGCTTTTATAAAAGAATATATATATTGGGTCAGGAACACAAACATGTTCCTGATACTATAGTGTTAAAAACACTATCTAGCCACCCTAACTATAGTCAAATATTACCTTTATTCCAGTCTCTTGGTGCTGGCTCTGCCCATGATCTGTCTCCTTAGCTGACATCATCAGAAGTATTGATCAAAGCTAATCACAATGCTTTCCCATAGAAAAGCATTGGATTGGCTGAGCTTGTCAAGGAGACAGCTCAGAGGTTGCAGGGGTTTTGTAGGAGGGGGTGGGGCACACAAGGGTTTTGTAGAAGGGGGCTGACAGCGGTTTTGCAAAGTCTCCAAATTTGTTCAATACATTAAAAAAAAGGAAGACATTTAAAAAATGTTACAGGTTCTTTTTGTTTTGGGTGGTGGGGGTTGCCAAGCCCAGGATCCAGGAAATGCTCCAGGGTCAAAAGGGTAAAAAAAAAAAAAATATATATATATATATTTTCTTTGATCACCCCCTCCCATCAAAAAAAAAATTAATATAGTACAAAAGTACTAAATGCCCTAATCAGGCTGATCACAGTGTTAATGTTGTGATCAGCACTGAAAGAAGGAAAGAAAAAAAAAAAAAAAGATCTCTCTGCTCCTCTCTCTCAAATCGAAGTGAGGTGAGGGGCAGAGACAAGGTGTCAGCCAGTGATTTAAAATCATAAGCTGACACATAGTAACAGTGATCGCAATAACTGTCTGACAGATAGTAACAGTGATCGCAGTGACCGACTGACACATAGTAAACGTGATCGCAGTGACTGTCTGACACATAGTAACAGTGATCGCAGTGACCGACTGACACATAGTAACAGTGATCGCAGTGACTGTCTGACACATAGTAACAGTGATCGCAGTGACCGACTGACACATAGTAACAGTGATCGCAGTGACTGTCTGACACATAGTAACAGTGATCGCAGTGACCGACTGACACATAGTAACACTGACTGTCACTGCGATCACATGCTGCAGATCATCACCACCAGGGAACTTGCTTAGTTGCCAGGCAGGTCCCCCGACCGCGATCTGCAGGTGGCGGATGGCGGTGGCCATGTGGGTGGAAATAACGGCGAGGACGTTCTATGCCACTCGGCATTTAAAGCCCACCGTCCATGAGGGTTTAAACTGACAGGGTTATTTACAAAAGTGAGAATTCCCAGTGAAATTCAAATCTACGGTTAGAGTAGCCAAACTGAAATCCCTTCTGGATTTGAAAGCTTGTTCACTTCTGCAATTTGCACCTTAAATTTGAAATCCACTTTGAATTCTCACTGTAGTGAATTACTCTTAGAGTAAAGACACGTGAATGAGCAACAATTTGAAACTTCTGTAAAATGCCAAGTTAATCAAATGATGAACCACAGGCTGATTTTTTTTTTTAAATCTGACAATCTCTGAATGAAACCAGATCTTTCTAATCCCATTCCTCTCACGCTTTCTGGAGCTTTGGAAATAACTGCATTACTCGCTCCTGTCTTAAAGGGACAGTCCAAACGCTGTGATCATCTATGCTCCTGTTACAATCCCTAAACAAGGTGACATCACAGGGTGAGCCATGTTTCCTTTGTGTATAGCAATACCCGGCAGAGTGTGCACTCACACTGCATACACAGTAGCCAGCATGGATCTTTCCACTGATTTCTGTGAAAGAGGCCACGATGAAGCTTCCTGAAAATAACTCTTCATTAACAAAACAGGAATGGAACGATTAGCAATTCTACAGTCTGCATCCTATTAACATGCAAAGATAGAATACACGGCTCATAAATAAAGGGGACTGAGCCATGCTAACACACGCACATTATAACATTACTGATGAGAATCATATACATATCTCAAGTAGGCCCTTGGGAAAGTCAGCCTTGCACAGTAATTCTGAGAAGGTCCGATGACCAGAAACCAACATGTTCTGTAAAATTTAGATTTTTTTTTTTGTTTCTCATCACACAGTGCTTTGTTTAACCCCTTCATTACCAAAATCCTGCATTAGTTGTTTTTTTTTGTTTTGTATTTTAGCTTTGCAAAATTATATTCAATTCATGGTACAGAGCTGCGGAATATGTCGGCTCTTTATAAATGCCGGTAATAAATAAATAAAGCCTCATTTGCCGTCATTTATATTCCAAAAAAGGATTATCAGCTTGTAGTGCAATACATTTCTCTGCCAACAACCCATTCCACCAATTTAATCTCTGTAAATGTCCTGAAAACGACAACCTCTCCCTTCCAAACAGTAAAGGAAATTGCTCGGTAGTAAAGGGGTTAAAGCAAGACTACATTGCTAAGAGTACCGGCAGAAATGCAAAACATAATGCATTTCTCATTTGCATATTGAGATGGGAATTATGGGAGAATTGTGTAAACATTAATAACTGTGCCCTAAGCAGACTTTGGACACTTCTTGAGGTGTATATGAGTGTCTTATGTATAAATTTATGGGTTTATTAGAGTCACAATCTGTAATGTTAGTTAACCATGAACTCTGGGCGCATTAAATATATTAATGAAATTCATTATTCAAAGTTTAAGACTTAGTTGCTGAATTATAGCAGTAATTATTATTATAGTCCTTAACGCTGTACGGTGGACTAACACCTGAGCAGGAGATGGAGATCCCATCTTGATGAATGGGGGAGTTTAGATCACAATGTCAGTCCAAATATGGAGGAAAAACTCTGAAAAGACTGATTTAGAAAAATCCACAATAAATGAGTTATGCGGAAAATGCTAAAATGACTAACTATTAACCCTGGAAAAAGAGAGAGTTATAATGGGCAGAGAAAGGAGTGATTACAATGTTCTAAATTGTAACTGACCGAATGATATATGAAAATCACGGAGTTTAGTTGATAACCAGCTTTTGGATCCCTATCAGTGGATGATGTTAGACATCTCGGCTCTTTAGTCACACATTGGAATGAAAATGGTCTTGTTTAGGTGCAGAGAAATCCACATTTTTTATGTAAGCTCAAGGACTGAGGCAATTTTCCAAATTCTGAAAAAAAATAAAAACCGAGAATTTATGTGTTTTTTTTCCCACCATTATTGAACGGTTTATCTTTAACTCCTTTACCACCAAACACTTTTTGATTGAAAAAATATTGGCATAAGATTTATTCTATAAGAAAGCTTATAAATATATCACAACACAGTAATTTTGCATTCAGATTGACACAATTTTTCTTTATCTTTATAAAAATATTTGGCAAATGAATAGCTTTAGACGTATACAATGTCTTTTATCTTGTATTACTTAACATAAGGTCTGAAATATTAGTATTAAATCAAAAATGCAATTGTTCTCACTTACAGCAGATACAATAGATACATACACATGGTCAAACACCTTGCTTATAAGCATTTGTAAGGACCTGGAAGTCATTACAGACTGTACAACTTTATAAATATTGCAAGGGAATGTGAAAATAATGTCTGCAGTGTAGCATAATACCCACAAACATTAAATATTGTTAAAATCATATTGTTCTAAAATAGAAATCTTCATAAATCTCTCGCCTGCTAATGTAATGCTGATAGTGAAATGGTAGAGTTCATTCACTCCTCCCTGTAGGAATGGTATGAGCCATTGAAACGTCCTGTACTGTTCGAAAGCATGGGGTGAGCTAACATTTTCTGCAACTTTGCAGGCATCGTATCAGTGACTAGTGGCGTTTGGCTAACAAATGTGTTCCTCTACAGGCTGGTAATCATAACTAGATTATAAATGAGTGAGGCTTCATAAACTAGATGTCATACTGCAAAATACATGAAAATAAAACCGCTTATACTCAATTGTTTGTGCAGATACACTCCATTCCTCCTGCATCTATATTGATGAGACTCAACGAATGATTCCTTGGTCTACCTGGTGTGCATCACTGAGCTCCACAGCAATAAAATGTGGAGTAATATGCAATATGTGTGAATTATTACAGAGCTCCATAGCAATAAAACTGTATGTATGAATTATAACAGAGCTCTACCGCAAAAAAACATG